TATATGAATGACATATTGTTGATCGGAAATACTGTAGAATTTCCTGGAAAGCATAAAGGAATGTTTGAAAGGAGTTTTTCAAAGAAAGACCTCAGTGAAGCTACTTACATATTAAGCATCAAGATCTATAGAGATAGGTCAAGATGCTTGATATATTTTCAATGAGTACATACCTTGACAAGATTTTGAAGTAGTTCAAAATGGAACAGTCAAAGAAGGAGTTCTTGCCTGTGTTGCAAGGTGTGAAGTTGAGTAAAGACTCAAAACCCGACCACGGCAGAAAAAAGAAAGAGAATGAAAAGTCATTCCCTATGCCTCAGTCATAGGTTCTACAAAGTATGCTATGTTGTGTACCAGACCTATTGTGTACCTCACCATAAGTTTGGCAAGATGGTACAATAGTGATCCAGGAGTGGATCACTAGACAGCGGTCAAAATATCATGAGTGGAATAAGGAAATGTTTCTCGGTTATGGAGGTGACAAAGAGTTTGTCTTAAAGAGTTACGTCGATGCAAGCTTTGAAACTGGTCTGGATGACTCTAAGTCTCGATCTAGATACATATTGAAAGTGGGTGCGATTAGCTAGAGTAGCTCTGTGCAAAGCATTGTAGACATAGAAAATTTGCAAAATACATACGGCTCTGAATGTGGCAGACCCGTTGACTAAATTTCTCTCACAAGAAAAACATGATCACTCTTTGGGTGTTAATCACATAGCGATGTGAACTAGATTATCGACTCTAGTAAACCCTTTGGGTGTTAGTCACATGGAGATGTGAAATAATCACATAAAGATGTGAACTATTAGTGTTAAATCACATGACGATGTGAACTAGATTATTGACTCTAGTGCAAGTGGGAGACTGAAGGAAATATGCCCTAGAGGCAATAATAAAGTTGTTATTTATATTTCCTTATATCATGATAAATGTTTATTATTCATGCTAGAATTGTATTAACTAGAAACTTAGTACATGTGTGAATACATAGACAAACAGAGTGTCACTAGTATGCCTCTACTTGACTAGCTCGTAAATCAAAGATGGTTAAGTTTCCTAGCCATGGACAAAGAGTTGTCATTTTATAAGCGGGGTCACATCATTAGAGAATGATGTGATTGACTTGACCCATCTGTTAGCTTAGCATGATGATTGTTACAGTTTCATTGCTATTGCTTTCTTCATGACTTATACATGTTCCTATGACTATGAGGTTATGCAACTCCCGAATACCGAAGGAACACCTTGTGTGCTATCAGACGTCACAACTTAACTGGATGATTATAAAGATGCTCTACAGGTGTCTCCGATGGTGTTTGTTGAGTTGGCATAGATCAAGATTAGGATTTGTCACTCCGTGTATCGGAGAGGTATCTCTGGGCCCTCTCGGTAATGCGCATCACTCTAAGCCTTGCAAGCATTGTGACTAATGAGTTAGTTGCGGGATGATGCATTACGGAACAAGTAAAGAGACTTGCCGGTAACGAGATTGAACTAGGTATGAGGATACCGACGATCGAATCTCGGGCAAGTAACATACCAATGACAAAGGGAACAACGTATGTCGTTATGTGGTTTGACCGATAAAGATCTTCGTAGAATATGTGGGAGCCAATATGAACATCCAGGTTCCACTATTGGTTATTGACCGGAGACGTGTCTCGGTCATGTCTACATAGTTCTCGAACCCGTAGGGTCCGCACGCTTAACGTTCGGTGACGATCGGTATTATGAGTTTATGTGTTTTGATGTACCTAAGTTTGCTCGGAGTATCGGATGAGATCAGGGACATGATGAGGGGTCTCGAAATGGTCGAGACGTAAAGATCGATATATTGGAAGGCTATATTCGGACATCGGAAAGGTTCCGAGTGAGTCGGGTATTTTTCGGAGTACCGAAGTGTTACGGGAATTCGTATTGGGCCTTAATGGGCCATACGGGAAAGGAGAAAGGCATCAAGGGTGGTCGCGCCCCTTCCCCGTGGACTGGTCCAAATTGGACTAGGGAAAGGGGGCGCCCCCTTCCTTCTCCTTCTCCCTTCTCTTTTTCCTATTCCATGTGGGAGGTGGAATCCTACTAGGACTAGGGAGTCCTAGTAGGACTCCACACTTTAGGCGCGCCCTATGAGGGCCGGCCTCCTCCTCCGTCCATCATTTATATACGTGGCCAAGGGGCACCCCATAGACACACAAGTTAATTGTTTCCAGCCGTGTGTGGTGCTCCCCTCTACCATAATCCACCTTGGTCATATCATAGCGGTGCTTAGGCGAAGCCCTGTTCCGGTAGCATCATCATCTCCGTCATCACGTCGTCGTGCTGACGAAGCTCTCCCTCGACACTTTGCTGGATCGTGAGTTCATGGGACATCACCGAGACGAACGTTTGCAGATCGCGGAGGTGCCGTACATTCGGTACTAGGATCGATCGTTCGTGAAGACATACGACTACATCAACCGCGTTGTCATAACGCTTCCGCTTACGGGCTATGAGGGTACGTAGACAACACTCTCCCCTCTCGTTGCTATGCATCACCATGATCTTGCGTGTACGTAGGAATTTTTTTGAAATTACTGCGTTCCCCAAGAGGTACCTATAATCTGAGTTTGTGGCCTTGTATAAGGGAATGGAGGGAGTATTAGGTATAGATTGGGGTGCCTTGGCCATCTGTAAGTTTAAGACTCTTACGGCTCCCTCACCTCGTGTATTCTCTTCCCGAGCGTAATGTTGCTGCCGAGCGAGTATTCTTGGTGAAGGATTGATGGGGATGTACAGTCGGGTGAAACTCCAATGTATTGTGTTCCTTCTTCTACCTCTAGTCCTGAGTGAGAGAGAGAGAGAGTTGCGCCAACATTTGGTATACAGAGCTCCGGTGTGATCCTGTCGGCGGCCATGGCGCTCGTTCCTCACGGCGGTGGTGGTGGGGCGATGGCATTGCAGCTGCCGCCGCTGACGACGACGAACTACATCGCCTGGGCGATCAAGGCGGAGGCTATCCTTGACGCCCATGGGCTGTGGAGTGTGGTGGCTCCGGCAGAGGGCAAGGCGGTCGACGCCGGGAAGAGCAAGACGACGCGGGCGGCGATGCTGGGCGCACTGCCGGAGGACTTGCTGATGCAGGTGGCGACGAAGCCAACCGCGAAGGAGGTATGGGACTCCCTCCGGGTTCGCTTCGTCGGCGCCGATCGGGTGCGAGCGGTGAGGCTCGGGACGTTGCGCGACGAGTTCGATTGCCTGCGGATGGACGACGGCGACGAGCTGGACGACTACGCCGGGAAGGTCAGCGGCATGGCGGCGAGGTACGCGATGCTCGGGTCGACGCTCGACGACAGCGCCATGGTGAAGAAGTTGCTCGACACCGTGCCGGACTGCCTGTATGCCGCGGTGGCCGGAATCGAGTAATTCTGCAACGTGGAGGAGATTGCGTTCAAGGAGGCGCTCGGGCGGCTCAAGGCGTTCGAGGAGAGGACGCGGCGGCGTGCACGGGTCGGCGGCGAGCGCGCGGACTGTCAGCTGATGATGACGGCGGCACAGTGGGCGGCTCGGGAGCGACGGCAAGGCGGACGCGACTTCGGCGACCACGGCAACGACGGCGCAGCGAGCACATCGTCGGGCAACGGAGGGAAGCACCGTGCACGCTGCTACAAATGCGGGGAGCACGGACACTTTCGGCGCGAGTGCCCGCAGCTGCGGAAAGGACCGGCGGCGGAGCAGGCTCTCCTGGTTGACGCCAACATCGACGACGACGGACTCCTCTAGGCCGTGGCTTACGGGGTGTTGAAATAAGCCATGACGTGTGGTGTGGTCGGGCGAGTCGGATGCGCGCGGGACGTGCGGGACGCATTGATACGGTCGAGTTCATCGGGCGGCGCAGGACGTGTGGGACGCAGTGGAAGTGTGGTGTATGTGTGTGTAGCGTGTGTGTACACTCGAGTCTGGCACGTAGAGCAGGGCGTTGGCAAGTGTTCCTGTCAAGTTTGCTTGATGCGTGTGAGTTAGTTAGCTGGTTGTTAGCAGTGACTGGTGAAGATGGCCACGTCGTGCGCGTAGCGCGTGGCCGGGCTGATGGATTGCATGCAGGGTAGCTAGCTAGGCGGCGGGCGTACGTGCGTACAAGGAAACGTGGGCGCTGCGTTGTTGTGCCACTACAAAGCCATGGCCACCAGTGTGTTTGTAAATGAGTTAGTGCTCTTGAAATAGTAACGGGGTTGTGTGTACAGCCGGATGAAACTCGTGCCACTACAAAGCCATGGCCACAAGTGTGTTTGTAGATGAGTTAGTGCTCTTGAAATAGTAACGGGGCTGTGTGTACAGCCGGATGAAACTTTAGTGTATTGTGCTCCTTCTTCTTTTACCTCTAGTCCTGAATGAGAGAGAGCTGCGCCAACAAGGGATGGGGATTCGGAGGAATTGGGTGAAGGGAAGGGGCTCACCTGATCCCTTTGAGGTTGGGAAAACTCCAAACAAGGCTTAGGAGGGCGGATTTGCCAAGTCCGGCGTACATAACCTATAGAACGCTCATTAAAGTGTGTGCCATGCCGGTCAGACTACATTGCCTCCCCGACAGGCATACCGTCAGCAGCCAATTGCAGCATCAGCGCATCACAATGTCAAGGATCATTAGAATCAACATAGAAGTTCCTGAAGTTAGATCACACATACAACATTCGGGAACTTGAATGAATAACATTGTTATAGACACAAAAGATGAAGAATAGTATGTTTGCTTATTTATCAAATATATAGGGAGCAAGGACCAGAAGAGGTATACAATATCCTTCCGATAGGGTCTCAGAAAATCAGTATAAAACAACTTACAATCCAGTAGCAACATAGGAGAAACAATTATTTCGCACTGCAAATGAACTTCAGTAGGTAACAGTGGATCACCGTTGCGATAGTCCTGAAACAAAAACTCCTAGCCACATTGAAAACAAAATAACAGCGCAACAGGAATTCACTCCTGTCGAGAATATATGTCGGTAGGTACTGGTTTTAGGCTCTTAGCCTATGAGCATCTTGTTATCTTCCAAGAAACTGTAGGTGGGCACCTCAAGGTTGTACGGGGCAGGGCCCTTGCGGATTCTGCCAGAGATGTCATAGTGGGAGCCATGGCACGGGCAGAACCAGCCACCAAAGTCTCCAGAGTTGGGAAGGGGAATGCAACCAAGATGAGTGCAGACCCCAATAACAACCAGCCACTCTGGGTTCTTCACACGCTCAGCGTCTTGCTCTGGGTGGCGCAAGGATGCAACATCCACGCTGTTGGCCAGCTTGATGTCATCATCTGTCCGTCGCCTGATGAAGACTGGCTTTCCACGCCACTTGACAGTCACTGTGCTGCCGGGTTCAATGCTGGATAGATCAACCTCAAGGGAAGCAAGTGCAAGCACATCCTTACTTGCTGACATGCTCAAGACAAACTTCAAGACAAGGAGACGCAGCAGTGATGCATATACGAATCTCCCACCACTCAGAACAAAGTAGGCAAAGGCACGCTTGCTGGGATCTCCAGGAGGATATCTTTCATGGTTGTACTGGTCATAAAGGATTTTTGAGTTGGGGTTCTTCAGTGCAGCAACAGTGGCTGGGAGTTCAGCCAACCCAGCATCTTGGTTCCGTGGAACAAGTGTTTCAGCCGAAGAAAAGCCTGCATCAGAATTACAAATAGTATAGTTTAAATAACAGTTAACTATTGCAGAGCCCATATTTAGGCATCAATAAACAGCAGAAACAGTATGACAGATTGCAAACTGCTAACACACAAAAAAAACTTATGTATTAATCCTCCAGCAAGAACAAAGGGTAAAACAACTTGCAGAAGTTGGCAATGATATGAATAAGATCACCATAGCAAGAATTTCATTGCACAAACTAAACAATGTTGAGTAGTAAATGGCTCTTCACATGTGGAATTCATAGAACTACAAGTACTGCTATTTGAGTAAACCGTTGGTTTGGTACAGATATCGTTCTTACTAACAATGGGAATATGCTATGGGCATTGGATTATAAAGCAATCAGATGATTACAGTTCTATGACCAAGTTTTGTCAACATCTTTGACAGCAGGTCCTGTAAAACAAAACATCTTTGCCAGCAGGTACAGTAGAAAAATGTCAATTAACTGTTACGATGCAATTTATGTTCCCACGCAGCATTGCAGCGTTAGCAATCCATTTCATTATGAACTAGACAGATTCAGCACACTGCCCATTCATCTGAAGGTGTTTGCGAGCAAACGTGTGGCTCAATTGTTAAGCCAGCAAACACATACAGGCACATAATCGCTCAGCACGGTTAGCAATCCATTTCGTTATGAACTATGAAAGTATAGCCCATTGGGCATTTTCGAAGGCGTTTGCAAGCACAAGTGACTCAAATTACCAAGCCAGCCAACTGATAAACATATGCACGTATTTAATCGCTCAGCTCCGCACGTAACTATGCATCCACAGATCTGATCCGCTAGAATGATCATACGACGTCATAGAAATCAATAGTCAACAGTTAGGCACACAGATCGAATGGAATTGCAGCACCCTAAGAGATCAATCAAAGACGATGTCAATCTAGCATCGCGGATCACTCAAATCCAGGCGAGCCAATTCAAAGCCCAATCGAAATCTACGGATGCGAGGGAGATCCGGGAGAGAACGAAGCCGAGGATGCGGGAGGTGGGGTGGGGGCAAGACCGCAGATACCTCTCGCGGCGGTGAAGAAGGGGGACTCGATGGCGAACCGCCGCTGGTAGGCCGAACCGTCGTCGTCGTCTCTCCCAGGGCCGCCGGCGCCGGCGAGCGGGCCCCTGGCTCCGACGGTCGCCACGGGGCGCCAGGAGAGCGAAGACGAGAGCCTCCTCCCCGCAACCCTCAGCATCTCGTCGGCGTCGTCCTCGTCCTCCTCCGCTAGATTGGGGATGGTAGTCTAATCTCGGCTAGGGTTCGCTCGGTGGCCACACGGAATGGAGAGGCTAGAGAGAGAGAGGGGGGGAGAGAACGAGAGGCGGAGCAAATATTGTGGGGGTGGTGGGCCTCTTCGGGATCGGCTTCTCCGGCCCTGTACGGTTTATTGGGCCCAGAACAATGTCATCTTTTACTCAAAAAGAAAATGGAAAACCGTATAGAAAGGCCCTGTTCGGTAATCATCCACTCCAAAAATCTACGGAGCGGGGAAGCTGTAACTCTGCCAATTTGAACTGCAGCTCCGCCATCTTTCGGAGCGGAGTTATGGAGTGGAGCATTACCGAACAGCCCCTAACTCTTTCAACCTTTCGAGGTTATTCTCGTTTGTGCACGTTATTCACTAGAGGTTGAAAACTTTAATGTAACTTCTAAAAAAATGATAACAACTCTAGCCTACCCCAACTTGTTTGGAACCGAAAAGCATTGTTGTTGTTTTGCGGGAAATATAGGGTACTTATTCTAAAATTACAGGGTTACCATTGGTTCGCGACAAGTTCAACAACAAAAGAGGGGGATTGGTTAAGCTAGCATGTAGTGTTATCCCACTACGACCATAGCTCACTAAGCAATGTGCAACCCTATTTTGTTCATGAGATATCTTAACCGTATTAAACTTCCTATTCTTCAACAATTCCTTCACCTCAACAATAATGTGACCATAAGCAGACATGTCCATGGATCTATCTTGGAGCGCCGCCGGTGCCACCACGCAATCGCCTTGAATCAACACTGGTCGGTCCGAGCACTAAATAGTAAGGCTAACACCCTCCATGGCCGCATGTAGCTCTCCTTCGAGTGCCTCATTGCAATGGAATATGCGACAATATGCAAAAAAATAGCACTCCCTTCGTCTCTTAGAATCATTCTCAAACCTGTCAACCCGTGCTTTGTTGTTGTCGATGATAAGTGATGACCCACAAGTATATGGGATCAATCGTAGTCCTTTTGATAAGTAAGAATATCTAACCCAGCCGGGAGTAGAAGGAATTGACAAGCGGTTTTCAGTAAGGTATTCTCTGCAAGTGTTGTAAATAGTAGTACCAGATAGTTTGATAGCAAGGTAATTCATAATAAGTAGCAAGTAACAAAAATAACAATGGTGCAACAAGGTGGCTCAACTTTTTTTATAACAAATGACAAGCCGAAAGTATTTCTTATAGTGAGTAAAGCGTTCTCGAGGACACATGGGAATATTATCTAGTTAACTTTCATCATGTTTAGTTGATTCACGTTAACTATTTTGATAATTTGATATGTGGGTGGACCGGTGCTAGGGTGTTCTTCTTACTTGAACAAGCAACCCACTTATGACTACCCCCTCTCGCAAGCATCCGCAAGTACAAAAGAAGAATTGCGATAAATCTAATCATAGCATGAAACATATGGATCCAAATCAACACCTTAAGGAATAACGCATAAACTAGGGTTTAAGCTTCTGTCACTCTCGCAGCCGATCATCTACTTACTACTCCCCAATTCCTTCCGTAGGCCCAAACATGGTGAAGTGTCATGTAGTCGACATTCACACGACATCACTAGAGGAAGAACAACATACATATCATCAAAATATTGAATGAATACCAACTTCACATAATTACAAATAACAAGACTTCTCTGATGTCCTCAAGAACAAACAAAGATACTCACAAATCATATTCATGTTCAAGATCAGAGGAGTATAATATATGATTAAGGATCTGAACATATGATCTTCCACCAATTAAACCAACTAGCATCAACTACAAGATGTAATCAACACTACTAGCAACCCACTGTTGGGGAATGTTGCATGGGAAACAAAAAAATTCCTACGCTCACCAAGATCAGTCTAAGAGATGAACATCTACGAGAGGAGAGATTATATCTACATACCCTTGGTGAAAGCGTTAAGAAACGCGGTTGATGTAGTCGAACGCCTTCGCGATCCAATCACGATCAGTCCCACGAACTCCCGATCAAGTGCCGAACGGACGGCATGCACCTCCGTGTTCAGCACACGTGCGGCTCGATGACGTCTCCTCCTTTTTGATCCAGCAAGAGAGGAAGGAGAAGTAGATGGGATCTCAACCAACACGACGACGTGGTGGAGATGATGGTGGAGCAATCCCAGCAGGGCTTCGCCAAGCGCTACCGTAGATGCGATCTGAGGAGAAAACGAAGTAATGGGAGAGGTAGGGCTGCCTCCAGGGCGTGGGAATTGGTGTGCCCAGCCCCCCACGCCCCTCCCCACTATATATAGGGGTGTGGGAGGCCTAGGGGCGCAGCCCTAGCCCCTCCCCCTAGGAGGGGAGGCGTCCAAGGGGGAGGAGTGCCCTCCAAGTCAAGTAGAGGGCCCTCCCCCTTAGGGTTTCCCTTCCCCTAGGCGCATGGGCCTCTTTGGGGCTGGTGCCCCTGGCCCAATAATACTAGGACACCCCCCTACAGCCCATGCGCACCCTAAGTGCTGGAGGACCCTTCCGGACTCCTCCAGAACCTTCTAGAACCTTTCAAAAGCTTCCCGATACAATATCGGTAAAACTCGAAACCTTTCTGGTAGCCAAAATATGACTTCCCATATATAAATCTTTACCTCCGGACCATTCCGGAGCTCCTCGTAATGTCCGGGATCTCATTCGGGACTCCGAACAACATTCGGCCACCAACGTGAATATCCCAATACTACTCTAGCGTCACCGAACATTAAGCGTGCGGACCCTACGCCTACGGGTTCGAGAATAATGTAGACATGACCGAGACACCTCTGGTCAATAAACAATAGCGGGACCTGGATGTCCATATTGGTTCCCACATATTATACGAAGATATTTATTGTTTGAACCTCAATGCCAAGGATTCAACTAATCCCGTATGCAGTTCCCTTTGTCTATCGGTATGTTACTTGCCCGAGATTCGATCGGCGGTATCTCCATGCCTAGTTCAATCTCGTTACCGGCAAGTCTCTTTACTCGTTCCATAATACAAGATCACATGGCTAACTCTTTAGTTAGATTGCTTGCAAGCTCATTGTGATGTATTACCGAGTGGGCCCTGAGATACCTCTTTGTCATACGGAGTAACAAATCCCAGTCTTGATCCATGCCAACTCAATAGACACCCTCGGAGATACATGTAGAGCATCATTATAGTCACCCAGTTACGTTGTGATGTTTGATACACACAAGGTACTCCTCCGGTGTCAGTGAGTTGTATGATCTCATGGTCATAGGAATAGATAGTTGACATGCAAAAAACAATAGCAATAAACTTGATACGATCATATGCTACGTTTATAGTTTGGGTCTTGTCCATCACATCATTCTCCTAATGATGTGATCCCATTATCAAATGACAACTCATATGGCTAGGAAACCATAACCATCTTTGATCAACGAGCTAGTCTTGTAGAGGCTCACTAGGGACATATTGTTGTCTATGTATCCACACATGTATTTGAGTTTCCAATCAATACAATTGTAGCATGGATAATAAGCGATTATCACTAACAAGGAAATATAATAATAACCACTTTATTATTGCCCCTAGGGCATATTTCTAACAGTCTCCCACTTGCACTAGAGTCAATAGTCTAGTATTACATGGTAATGAATCTAACACCCATAGAGTTCTGGTGTTGATCATGTTTTTCCTATGGAAGAGGTCTAGTCAACCATCTAAAACATTTAGATCTGTATGTACTTTGCAAATGTTATGTCCTCCTCCTTGACCGCATCACGGATGGAGTTGAAGCGTCGCTTTATGTGTCTGGTCCTCTTGTGAAACCTTGGTTCCTTGGCTAGAGCAATGGCACCAGTGTTGTCACAGAACAGAGTCATTGGGTTTAGTACACTTGGCATAACTCCAAGATCTGTCATGAACTGCTTCATCCAGACACCTTTCTTCGCTGCCTCCGAGGCAGCTATGTACTCCGCTTCGCATGTAGAATCAGCTACCACGCTTTGCTTGGAACTGCCCCAGCTTACCACTCCCCCATTTAGAATATATATGTGTCCGGTTTGAGACTTAGAGTCATCCGGATCAGTGTCAAAGCTTGCACCAACGTAACCCTTTACGACGAGCTCTTGATCACCTCCATAAACGAGAAACATTTCCTAAGTCCTTTTCAGGTACTTAAGGATAATCTTCACCGTTGTCCAGTGATCCATTCCTGGATTACTTTGAAACCTTCAGGCCATACTTATGGAAAGGCTGGCATCCGGTCTTGTGCACAGCATCGCATACATGATAGAGCCTATGGCAGAAGCATAGGGGATGACACTCATCTTCTCTGTCCTTTATAGTCGTTGGGCATTGAGTTTGACTCAACTTCACACCTTGCAAAACAGGCAAGAACCCCTTCTTGGACTGATCTATTTTGAACTTCTTCAAAATCTTATCAAGGTATGTGCTTTCTGGAAGTCCTATTAAGCGTCTCGATCTATCTCTATAGATCTTGATGCCTAATATGAAAGTAGCTTCTCCTAGGTCCTTCGTTGAAAAACTCTTTTTCAAATATTCCTTCATGTTTTCCAAAAGTTCTATATTGTTTCCAATCAGCAATATGTCATCCACATATAATATTAGGAACGTTATAGAGCTCCCACTCACTTTCTTGTAAATACAAGATTCTTTGAAAACTTGTATAAACCTAAATGCTTTTATCACCTCATCAAAGCGAAGGTTCCAACTCCGAGATGCTTGCACCAGCCCATAAATGGACTGTTGGAGTTTGCACACTTTGTCAGCATTCTCTGGATCGACAAAACCTTTTGGTTGCATCATATACAACTATTCCTTAAGGAAACCGTTAAGGAACGCTATTTTGACATCCATCCGCCAAATTTCATAATCAAAATATGCAGCTATTGCTAACATGATTCTGGCGGACTTAAGCATCGCTACGGGTGAGAAAGTCTCATCGTAGTCAACTCCTTGAAC